TTGCATTTTGCAACTCCCCTTTCCCAGATGAGCAAACTGAGACTGTTAGTCTAAGCCAATGGCATTGACCCAATCCCTGTCTTCCAGTGAAGGGACTAAACAGGAACTCTATCGACATTTTCTCACTTGATCCTAACAACTATGATTTTCGATGGTAACGTCCCCATTTTATAGGTGAGGAAATGAAAGAAAATCATCAAATCTAATAGACGTACTCGGCTCTGTTTATTTATATGACTCTGTCTTGTTCCAGATGGACTTGCACTCAGATGGGAGCCTCATCTGTCTGGTTCCAAAGTCCAAGCTCTTTCCCCAACATCAGACTGACGCAGCGTGTCTGAGAGCTGGCAATGTAACAACCAGCCAGGCAGAGACAGCCAGAGCAGAGGCCAAGTCCAAAACATGGGGGAGGCTGTTATTTCTGGACCACCTCCCCTCCCCCTCTGGCCAGATCCAGCAGTAGATGAGGCATCCTGGTGGGTAGAAATCCATACTCCACATATTTTATTTATTCAGTCCCCACTACCTGTGAGGTCCCACTCTCAGCTCTAGAGATGAAGCTGCGGACACACTAGACGAAAATGTCTGCCTCCACTGGGCTTGCAGTCAAATGGGGAGGTGGGTGAACAAACCACACGAATGATTCTCATACTAGACAGAAAAAAATGCCTTGGAAAAGCAGAAGGACTTGGTAAGCTTAGGTTAAAGAAGAAAGATGGGATACTCAGGGTGGAGACAGGGAGCCAGAGAAACCTTTCTGGATGAGGGGACTTTTGAGTCTAGGTTCAATGATGCCCATCCGTCAAATGGAGCTGATAATAGGCTCTATTAGGCAGGGTTGTTGTGAGGCTCGAGTAAGGTCATGGTCGTGAAGTGCTTAGTGGAGTGCTTGGCATACAGGAAGTCCTAAATAAGTCTCACTACCTTCTCCTAATAAATATTATCTATGGTCGTAGTTCAGCCGCCATAACAAAAATACCTTAGACTGAGTGGCTTAAACAGCAGAAATCTCTTTCTCGTGTTTCCGGAGTCTGGAAAGTCCAAGATCAAAGTACCAGTCAATTTGGTTTCCTGGTGAGACCCTTGTCCGGGTCATGTCCTCATAGGCCCCGGTGGGGAGTAAGTTCTCTCCTGTCTCTTCTTATTAGGGTGTTAATCCCACCATGGTGGGGCGGGGCATGCTCATGAACAAATTACCTCTCCAAATACCATCGTGCTGGAGATTAGGGTTTCAACATATGAATTGGAGGGGGACATGAATATTCAGTCCCTAACATCTTTTTTGTACTGCACGACAAAATCACCTCTGAAGACTTCTCATGGCCCCAATTCCAACAAGCCCAGGAAAGCCACACAGATCTGCCCCAGGCTTCCTTCTTAGCCTTGCCCTTCCTCACGTCCTCCCTGCTCCCCGGCCCCTGGTCCCGACCAGGATGCCTTCCTCCACCTGGTCCAGATCTACCCCCAGTCTGCTTCCTCTGCCGGGAACCTTGGCACCATTCTCCTCTCTTGCCTCCCCTCCTTGGCCAGCCCTTCCTTACCCACCAAGTCCAGGGTACTACCCTGGGCGCTGCTGCGAGTGTGGCCGTTCCACGGCATACTCTCTCACACTCCCTGCACTTTTCTCTTCCCTCCAGACTCATCACAAACACTTGTGTGATACTTGTCTTTTCCACTGGACTTAGAGGCCCCCGAGGGCCAAGACTGCATCTGTCTTGTTCGTGGGCACAGCCAGCATCCGGTAATGTCTGGAACAAACTCAGCCCTTCATAACGTTGGCCTGGCTCCTCCTTGAAGTGTGAGCTCAGATGTGCAGAACTGGGACAGAAGGGCAGGGTCCCCGCCACACCGCCCCCACCCCCCCACACCAGCAGTGGTCAGAGTTGATTCAGACGTGAGGGCTAAGAATCTCTCAATCACCAACCGAGCTGTGGCTTCTCTCAGGAGCGGGGCAGACATGGAGAAGATGGGGCGCTCAGACAATGTCCTTAACCTTCTCCCCACAGACGGGAAGTGACTGGCCCAAGGTCTCCAGCTGTGGGAGTGGGGATGGGAGTGAACACGTATTCTGGCCCTTTCACGCTGCAGCTGTTGCCTCCAACCTCAGGAAGAGAAGGTCGAGACAGGAAGTGGTGGGACTGATACAGGGTGGTGACAAACCACGACAAGGATCTGAAGGTTCAGGTTGTCTCCCCTCCCTGCTCTGTAGGCGGAGCCGGCAAGCAGACAGACTGGCAGGTGGAAATTTGCATGCAGGAGGTTTATCTGGGATCAAAAGCAGGTGGCATGGGTCGGGCTGGGGCACAGCGTCAGCATTGGCCTCATAAAGGGAGCCCCAGAGCTGGGACAGTCATTCAGAGTGGTTTCAAATGGAGGCATGTGGCCAGGCCTTTGTACACCCCTCTCCTGTTCATTGGTCATGGGAGGCCGACCGGACTGCCTGGCAGGGCTGGAACCATCAGTGAGGTCGCTCCCTTCAGTCTAGGGCGGTTCTCAGAGAGGGACCCCACAGAGATCCTGCAGCAATGGGGTGGGGGTACAGAATGTAACGAGGGCCGCTGTCTGGGCCGCACACTGTAGCAACGATTAGCAGGAGTGTCGATTAGCAGTTTTCTAACCGCTCCACGCAGCCCTCGGGTTCCGAGAAGGTGCAGCGGGTGAGAAACGGCTCTTCTTGGCTGTGTTTTGGTTTCTGCGAAGGTCCAGCATGTTTCCTTGGAAGAAAAAGTTCTGCTGCTGGTTTATAAAGGCTTCTATAACACCTCCCGTTTCTCCTTTGAGGCGCTGATCACAATTAGAATTTAAATAATTAGTTGTGTACTAATCCAATCTGTCTCTTCCTCGGGACAATAAATTCCCAAAGGGCAGGAACCATGCTTGTCTTGTTCGCTGCTCTATGTCCAGCACGTTTACGTAATAGGGCACAAGATCTGTTGAATGAAAGGATGCTCCCGGCATCGGAATAACGGGAAAGTTGCTCAAGCTGCAAATGTCTCAGCTCTGCCTCCAAACACTGGTCCTCTAAGAGGTTCCAAGTTACAAAAAGTTGGAGAACTACTTCATGCCACCTGTCCCAGGGCTCTGGTGAATGTTGAGAACTGCTGGAGTGCACTCACCCAGCTCCTGCCTCTACCCATTATCAGCAGTCCTCAGTCCCAGCAGGACTTCAAAAGCCAAATACAGACTCGAACCCCAAGCAATCTTGAACGTACTCCAACCTGGACAGGTGTGCCCGGGTCTCGGATCACAAGATGCAGAACCTAAAACAGATTCATTTGATCCAACCTGAAGCCCAGAGTTTTTAATTCCACATGCAAATTAATTTGAACATACTTTAAAAAAATGCAGATTCAGGGCCTAAGGAGTTGATGGGGGCGGGAAAAACAAGGATCTAGAATCAGACGGACAAGGGTTCAAATCCTAGGTTGGGTTATGTTGAGCAGATATCTCAATACTGAATGGCCCCCTGGTGCTAAGTGCCAGGCATCTACGCTGTGCTGGGTGTTTTTCATTATTTAATCCACACAACCCCCCTGTGCCCATAGGTATTGAGAACTGAACTAATTTGTTTATGGTTGAGACAGACATTAAAAATCAAAGCTGGAATTTGAGCCTGGGTGTAACTGTTAAGTTGGTGTTCTGCAGACTTTCACTTGACGTTCCTTTTTCACATCTGTTCCCACAATGGGAACACCACTCCTTTCTCACTGGGTTGTGAAGATTGAGATATTAAATTTGAAAACATTTGGCAAGGGTGCCTGTGTGGCTCAGTCAGTTAAGGGTCTGCCATTGGTTCAGGTCATGATCCCTGGGTCCTGGGATCAAGTCCTGCATTGGGCTCCCTGCTCAGTAGGGAGTTTGCTTCTCTCTCTGCCTTTCCCTCTGCTCGTGCACACGCTCTCTGTCTCAAATAAATAAAATCTTTTAAAAAAATTTAAAAAAATGAAAACATTTGGCAAAAGTCATTCAGTAATGCAACCTGGAGAAGAACCGAAGACATACTGCCTCTATTTTTATGGCAGAGGAAACTTGAGGCCCCGTGAAACTAATCAACCCTCTCCCCTAATCCAGGGGTAGTAAGTGGCTAAGTCAGGACCAGAATCCAAGTTTTCTATTCCAGTCTGGTTTGTTCTCTCACATCCTCTCAAAAGACTTTAGAAGGAAGAACAAGTAGATAGAACACCACAAAAAATGAAGAGGGTAAAGGGAAAGGGAACATGGAGTTAATCAGGGGAGGCTTCCTGGAGGAGACCCAGTTTTCATTTTTTGACAGCAGTGTTTAGAGGAAGTGGGTGGCCAACAGAAGAGGTCTTGGTTCTTAGTCATAATGTGGTTTCCCTGATATGCTTACTAGAGTTCCCAGTGTCCAGAGAAGATTGACCAAAATCACACAGCTACTAAATGGTGCTGGTACAATGAGGAGATCCCATTTAACCCTTCTCAGCTGGTTCTGTCTCCTTGGCGCTGGAGAAGTGATGAGAAGCAAGGAAGCATACTGTGGTTGGGCAAGGCACACGCTGGTTCCCAGAGATTCTCAAAAGCCTCCCTCTGCAACAGGGGGACCCCATAGCAGGAAAAGCAGCAAGTTGAAATGCTGAGGCCTCAGGGTCAGGCAGACCCTGGTTGGAATCCCGGCTCCACCAATGAAGACCTATGTGGCCTCAGCAACTTCACTTTATACCCCTGGGTCTAAATTCTCTTGCACTTTCAGAAAAATGGCTTCCAAGTACCCAGCCCAAGGCCAGGCTTAGTAAGAAAAGTAACATGGCTGTTATTCTTCCGCAATGCTTGACCAGCCACAGATGAGTGGTGGCCTGGGCACCCGTGGGTCAGGATAGACTTCTAATGCCAACCACTCCCAGAGCTGCAGTCACTGGATACAAGTGCCCAGCAGGGTAGGGTAGCTGAGGTCAGGTCCGTGATGCAACCCCAGCTCCCTGCTGATGCTAAGAGATGAACCATGACCCTTGCAAATGGAAAAACAGCCCGTTGACAATAAGTACAAAACAAAACCTTGGTGAACTTTTATTTTTCATCATACAGAACTGGTAGCAAAGCCAAAGATTTCTGCACTTGAACACTAGATCCCCCTCCCGACCCACCCCGGGGGACATTTACAGAGTTATCATGTCCCTTCTAGACTCCAAACCCCAATGCTGGGGCCTCTTCCCTCCTGCCCAGGTTCACTGCAGGGAGGGCTCTGAGGCCCACAGGGGGTGCCGGTTGCTTCCCCATGCCTGCATGGGTGTGAAATGTGGCACACTGACCAGGCTCCTCTCCTACCCCTCTCCAGAGAGGAGGGTCAGAAGCAGCAGCAGCATGTCCCCTGCCTTTCTTCAGTCACCTCCCCACTGGGCAGAGAGGAGGCACATACTGTCAGAAGAGGGGCAAGGGACGTCATCATTCACAGCTTATTTGCTACAGAAAAGTGCCTGGGATCGGTCCTTGGCTGCTTCTGCCTCCAAGCAATCCACCTAAAATCAAGGCAGGGATGGAAACGGGGATGGGGGATGGGGTGGGGGGTTTGTCCTAGGAAGGCAGCTGGGAGAGACTGCCTGCAAGGCCGGGCTATCCCCAGAGGCCTCTTGAGATTCTGCAAGATTTACAGTTTCAGCTGGCAGGTTGGCCTGAGCAGCCCAGAGTAGACTCAGACATCACAGAGAGTCCCGGCCCCCCGTTTGCAACTATCTATGCAGAGGTCGAAGAGGTTTGGCAACGTAGCCACGGTCAGCTGGCCAGTTTGGGCAGGACCCAGACAAGAACCTTGGGGTCTCCTGACTCTGACTCTGAAGCCACCCAGAAAGGCTCACTTGGTGGACAAGGTCTGTGGCAGCGCTGTGGGAGACAGGAGAGTGGGGAGCCAGTCTCTGCAGGGCTGGCGCAGTTCTGGGGAGAACAGATTTCTTCCTGTCCTCCTCTCAGGCATTGACTGTGGCTATCGAGGTGAGGTCCCGAAGAACCTCCCCAAGAAAGAACCAGAAATAGGGCACTGGTAATACTCCCTTCTCTTCGGAAGGCAAAGGGACACATAGACACCCCAAACTCTCTAGAGATAATCTACTTTTTTGAGGGGCTTGGTCTCTCTTCTGGGGCCTCCTACCAGCAGGCAGGGGGGAAATGGGTAAGAGGGTGAAGGGGAGGTCAAAGGTCAAAGGTGCTAAACCAGGGTTAGGGCCACCCAGGAAAAGGGGTGTTCAGACTGCCTGTCAGAACAGGCTTTTGGGGAGCGGAACACACAGTCCCGCTGTGACACTGACTTTCACATTGATGGGTGAACGGCAAGGGAGAGGTTTCGAGATCTGGGAGCAAGGGAGGAGGAGGAAAGGCAAAGCTGCTTGGAGTGTCAGTCCCTGGAGGTACTTGTCCCTCTCCTCTTTGGCCCAGCCAGAGACTTCCCAGGCCAGGAAGGCCACAGGACTGGTGATGCCTGCGGCCCAGACTGCTGGGTACATGCATCTGAGCTCAGCTCATTTCCCTTCCTGAGCCTTCTGCCTCTGAGGTCAGGGGCAGGACGGAGGGCATGGTCCCTGGGGATCTGCTAGTCCCCTTCCAGCTCCCAGGGGTAGAACTGTGATCCCAGAGTCAGTGCAACGATCCTGTCCATTCCAGTGAGAGAAAGGGAGGGTACGGCTCAGGGGCTGCATGTTGCACACAGGCCCACCTCCAGAGTGGGGTGGGAGGGCCTGGGACAGAGAGGGATCAGGTCCATCTCCAGACAGAGAAGTCCTTGCAGGGAGGAGGATGCCCCCAGGGGCAGCTGCTCGGGGCGCAGATCCTGCTCGCAGTCAGGTCATGTAGCGGGTGATGGCACGGAGGGCGTAGAGCAGGGCGGCCTGCATGCGGGCCTCCAGGAGCAGCAAGTTCACGTGGACCTGGGGCACAGACAAGGACCTGTGGGCAACTGATGTCACTCCTGGCCATCCCCAACCTTCCCAGACCGCCACGTGCCTGGACCACTCGCCTTTCCTTTTCTCCCATATAGACACCCTGATTGTTCCTAAGGCTCCGAGCACATTGGTACAATGGCAGCTGAGGAATTTCCAGCCCATTCATCCCCAGCCTGACTCATCTCTTTACCTCACAAAATGAAAAACAAGAGCTGGCCCTGGGCACTCATGTTCTCATCTCACCCTCGCAGCAACCCCAAAATGCAGGCAGTGTTTGCTCTTGCGGTAAAGATAACAAGCTTAGGGGGCAAAGTGACTGGCCCAAGGTCACCATGCTACTGAGTGATACAATTTGGATTTGAACCCAGGTCCTCCTGGCTACCACTGAGGACGCCGTGAGGCACAGTCCCATTTTATAGGTGAGTAAATGGAGTCGGAAACCACACAGTGGAGTAGGACTTGAAGCCAGGACGGTACACCCAGGCGTCCAAAGCAGCAGAAGGCTCTGTCTGGGTTACCACATCGGGTCCTGACCACCCCCACCCCCCACCCAACACACCGTACCTTCTCTGAGTGGCGGAAGTGTCTCCAGAAGAGGTTGTACATTCTTCGCGTGGTCTTCTCGGGGTAGCAGGCCACAGTCTTGATATAGACCTTGAGGTTCCGTTCCAGGAGCTGGTTTACCTCCCCGTAGTCATAGTCATCATATCTGCATGGAAAGACCCCGAGAGCATCACTCTCCAAGTGACTCTTCTCCCCTACCCCCACCCTAGAGAAGGAGGAACAGAGTGTGGCAAGAAAAAGCAGAAAGTAGGAAGCAAGAAGGAACTTGGTTCCTCTTAGAAAAATAGCTGATGTCATACATCGCAGGCCACTAGACTGGCCGGGGACCACTCCAAAGAATGTCGAGAATGAGCTGCTGTATTGAGTATGAGCCGTGTGCTGTACGGACGCGTACTCAGAGAATCCTCAGAAATACTAGATATGCTATATACAGAACTATTATACACAATACACCACTTTTATCAGGCCCATTTTATAGCTAAAAGGGAGATTCAGAGAAGTGAAGTCATTTGTCCTGGGAATGGAATTCAAACCCAGCTCTGCCCAGCTCCAAGGTCATATTCACTATAGGAAAGGCCATGGATGGGACAGTACAAAGGATTTCCCTGGAGAAGGAAGAGAGAAAGAGAAAAGGAAGTGGTACTCATTTCACGGATGGGCAAACTAAGACCTGGAGAAGGTAATTAACTTGTTCTAAGTCAGAGAGCAAGTTGGTGACAAGTCTAGAAGCCACTTTGTCACTCTCCAGCCCAGTAAGCCAGTGAGTCATCAGAGATCTGTGTGGATGGAGAAGATTGGTGGAAAACTGGAGGACAGATTCAGTAGACAAAGGCAGAGGAGTGAGGACCATGTTGGAGAATGTGGGGCGGGGGAGACCCTGACCTGTGTGCTGGGCAGAAGCAGCCTGGGCAACATTCTAAGATACCTGTCCCTCCTCCAACTCCCCAGGACTGGAAAACTGTCAATGACCGGCAAGAGGACACTCAATTAAGCACAACTCAATCTACTCAGTGAAACAGAATTTACAGCTAGGAATACATAAACACACATTTTTCCACAGAGACATGGACCTTTCTAAAAATTTTGGACTTTTTTGATGCTTGGAATAAGCCATTAAATGAGAAAAGCCAGACCATGTGTTCATTAAAATATGCCCACATTTTTTTTTTTTGAAGATTTTATTTATTTATTTGTCAGAGAGAGAGAGAGAGAGCGAGCACAGGCAGACAGAGTGGCAGGCAGAGGCAGAGGGAGAAGCAGGCTCCCCACAGAACAAGAAGCCCGATGTGGGACTCGATCCCAGGACGCTGGGATCATGACCTGAGCCGAAGGCAGCTGCTTAACCAACTGAGCCACCCAGGCGTCCCAAAATATGCCCACATTTGATTACATGAGTAAAATAAGTGAAATGAGGAGGGAGAAAAATCCTGTGTTTGTAAAATTATGTCTTTTTTCGTTATTTGTTTGTGGAAAAAAGACAGGAGAGAACTACTTGACAATAATAAGAGTAGGCAGGATCATGGATGATTTCTATTTCTTTTTCTTGTTATTTCTGTTTCCTTTTTTTTTTAATTTTTAAAAGATTTTATTTATTTATTTGACAGAGAGAGAAACCACAATTAGCAGAAAGGCAGGCAGAGGAAGAGAGGGGGGAAGCAAGCTCCCCGCTGAGCAGAGAGCCCGATGCAGGACTCAATTCTAGGACCCCAGGATCATGACCTGAGCTGAAGGCAGAGGCTCAACCTACTGCCACCCAGGCACCCCTGTTATTTCTGTTTTCTAAATTTACTATAAATCTAGTTGTTTCTCTTTGGAAACATCAAACATACATTTTAAAAAACATAACCATCATAACTCCAACTACACAAAGCAACTACATTAGAAAGAAGAAAAGCAACCGAGAAAGAATGTCACAGGATGTGGATGTGGTTGTGAAGTAGCTGAATTTGGGGAAAGGTTTTTTTGTTTTTTTTTTTTTTAAGATTTTATTTATTTATTTGACAGACAGAGATCACAAGTAGGCAGAGAGGCAGGCAGAGAGAGAGGAAGGGAAGCAGGCTCCCCGCTGAGCAGAGAGCCCGATGCGGGACTCGATCCCAGGACCCCGGGATCATGACCTGAGCCGAAGGCAGCGGCCTAACCCACCGAGCCACCCAGGCGCCTGAAAGGTTTTTTTTTTGGTTCCTTAATTCTTTGAATTTCCCACAATGTTATCAGAGTGAGATTTCTTCAAATAATAAAAAAAAAATCGTTCTGGGGGCACCTGGGTGGCTCAGTCGGTTAAGCGTCCGACTCTTGATCTCAGCTCACGTCTTGATCTCAGGGTTGTGGGTTCAAGCCCTGCATTGGGCTCCACCCTGGGCATGGAGCCTACTTAAATAAATAAATAAACAAACAAACAAATAAAATTGGGGGGGTGGTGCCTGGGTGGCTCAGTCAATTAAGCCTCTGACTCTTGATTTCAGCTCATGTCATGATTTCAGGGTTGTGGGACAGAGCCCCAGGTTGGGCTCACACTGGGCATGGTGCCTGCTTAAAGTTCTCTTTCTCCCCTTCCCTGCCCTCCAAAAAATAAATTTAAAATTTTTTTTAAAAATTGGTCTGTGTATATTCTTGACAAGTAATTTCACACCTAGGGCTCATCTACAAGGACTTAGTGTGAGGCTAGTCAGTGCACATGATGTTTTTAATAGTGAAAAACAGTGAACTAGTTATAACTGGAAAGTGGTTGAGTTAGGCTACATCCATAACGGAACACCACACAGTGGTTAAAAAGCATAAAGGAGGGGCACTGGGTGGCTCAGTTCATTAAGCATCTGCCTTTGACTCAGGTCATGATCCCGGGCTCCTGGGAATGAATCCCACATCAGGTTCCCTGCTCAGTGGGGAACTTACTTCTTTCTCAGCCCCTGTCTTCCCCCCTGCTCATGCTCTCTCTTGTTCACTCCCTCTCTAAAATAAATAAATAAAATCTTAAAAAAAAAAAAAAAAAAAGCATAAAAAGATCTATTCATCCTGACAAGGAAGGCAGTTCACAATAGATTATTAGGTGAAAAAAAGCCAGTTGTAGAATATATCAAGCATGATTCTATCAATTTAAAAAATCTACTTAAAAAATCAGGAAACGGGGCACCTGGGTGGCTCAGTGGGTTAAGCCGCTGCCTTCGGCTCAGGTCATGATCTCAGGGTCCTGGGATCGAGCCCCACATCGGGCTCTCTGCTCAGTGGGGAGCCTGCTTCCTCCTCTCTCTCTGCCTGCCTCTCTGCCTGCTTGTGATCTCTCTGTCAAATAAATAAATAAAAATCTAAAAAAAAAAAAAAAAATCAGGAAACATGGGGTACCTGGGTGGCTCAGTGGGTTAAGCCTGCATGGGGCTCTCTGCTCAGCAGGGGGTCTGCTTGCCCTTTCCCCTCTGCCTGCCTCTCTGCCTACTTGTGATCTCTCTGTCAAATAAATAAATAAAAAACCTTTAAAAACAAAATCAAGAAACACTTAGGTAACGAAATGAAAATGTAATTAATCACACACTATCCAGAGACAACCATTATTAATTAACATTTTAGTGTGTAGCCTTCCACACATTTTCCATGTACGCACACATTTTTAGCAAAAAAAAAAAAAAAAAGAAGGGAAACAAAAGGAAGATTCTGGTCGGTAACCAACTTTCTTTCTTCTCAATACATTTTGAACAATTTCCCATAGCAATATAAAGAGACCATTATTATAATTTATAATAGCTGTGTACTTCTTCACTGTGTGGATATAACGTTATTTAAAGTCTCCTACCAATGTGCATTTATGTTGTCCTTATTTACTGTAAGAGAAGAAGTCCCATTTGGAATGGAAATACACTCTCCCTTCCCTCTCTCTCTCTCACTCTAGGGGGTGGGATTAAAGAGTTTCATCTCCAAGGTTCAAACAGTCCACACATCTAGTATCATTTATAATCGGCAATGAAATAAATTTGCTTTGAAAAACAGTATAGGCAAGAGGAAGGGAAAATGAAAGAACAAAATAGAAAAGGAAAGAAGCTCTTGAGCTCAGCCTGAGGACTTGTGCACATGCACTGGATGAGGGGCCGTGAGCTTACCTGATACCAAACACACAGTGGATGTAATTCCAGATGGCCCTGCGGAGCACGGACGTGTCCACCCCGCTGTGCATGGCGATGGTGTTGTAGGTGAGGCTGTAGGCTGCCTGGAACTTCTCATCCAGCAGCTGCCCACCCTCCGGGTAAAGCCGCTGGATCAATGAATAGCCGTGGTCTTCCCAGGTGTAATCCTGAGAAACGTGGAAAGGGGTCAGGGAGTACAATCTTAGGGGCCCAAGTCTGGCCACAGGGACCCCATCCTCTGGAGCACAACTTTGCTCTCTATAACGTCCCTTTCCCGCCCCACAAATCTAACCTGCTGCTTGGTCTGGGCCTAAGAAGCCATGGAGAATCCACCTTGGTGATGGTCTTCTCCCTGTGATCAGGATCCCCTGAGCTTAGGGCACAGATGGGCCCTGTCATGATCTAGGGTCTTCTGTTTCCCTCATGGAATCTTGAAGGAGAAGGTGCCTGACTCTCCAATCACTCCACCCATCCAGCCCCTGCTTGTTTGTAAACCCAGAGTGATACCAAGAAGAGCCCGGAGGGCCTACCTGGGCACGGAAGGTGGGGGGCGCCTCAGCCCCTCGCCGGGTGAAGTCCTCATATCCAAACGTGGGGTCCTCCACAAAGCACAGCATGTCTGGGTGTGGAGAGGGCTCCAGGAAGTCAGCTAAGGATGTCAGAGAGAGGCCACAGTGAGGCCAAGGCATGGAGTACAGGGTACCTACTCGTGATTAATCACCTGGTGGCTGGAGGGAGATGAGGCAGGCCCATGGACCTGGGGATGAGGCCCCCGTTAATAGTAACAGCAACTCTGGCAACACTAGTCATTTGTGAAGCCATTTACTCTGTGCTAAGAGCTTTGCTTCCATTGTCCCATTTACCTCACAAACCAATCCTTCACATGGGAGGAGACGGAGGCCCTGAGACAGGAAGTAACTTATCAGGGGGTCACACTGCTAGAAGGGCTGACAGGTCACCATTCTCACCCAGATCTGACCCTAAAGCCCACGCTCGGAACCTCTTAGAAGAAGTGGTTGAGACATGGCCACCTTCAAAATATAAGCGTTGCCATGCACGGAGCTGCCTACTCCCCAGCAGAGATGATGTCAGAAGGGGGAAGACCCTGGACCTGGGATGCCTGCGATCCTGTACCTGAGGGAGTCACCAGAAGGCTCTCTGACTTCTCCAGCTCAAAGCGGCTCTCCATCTCCTCCTGGGATGCTCCCTCATCCCGTAATAGGCTCTCCTGCAGCTGCCTCATGCGTTCCATCAAAGCTTCCACGTCCCGGGCAGCCTCAAAGCCCTGGAGGAGGGACCCAGCAGTGACCGTTTACTCCTCGGCCCCAGGAAACCCCACACATCCTCCCCACAAGCCAGGCCTTCCTGAGTGATCGCAAAGGCCTACTGCCTCCTGAGGCAGCCATGGAGCTGGGCGGCTCGTGAGGCCTGTGTCTTCTAAAGCAAAGTTTAAGAAGATATGGGACAGGCCTATCTTCTCTAAGCATCAACTTCCTGCACAGGAAAGGGATTGTTAAAGTATCTATAAATTTATATTAAAACAAACAAGGCCGCTTTATAGGATAAGAGGCAAACTTTGTATTGGTAAAGGGCTAATACCCAGGAGACGTTAAGCCTCTGACACAACATGCTGAGGGACCCACCATTTACTCCTCACCACCACTGTGAAGTAGGGTTCTTTAGCCTCATTTCACAGATGAGGAAACGGAGTCTCAAAGTCAACTAACTCTTCTGAGGTCCTTCAGTGTGAGACAGGGAAGCAGTGGCTTCCATCCGAGGACCGGAGGCCATGCAAGCTTCCTCTCCCCACAAGACCTGGACCCATCACTTACCCCAGAGCTGTTCAGTGGGTCCCTGCTGGGGGGGCTGCTCTGCTCACTGGGGGGTGAAGGTGCCTGGGGGGCAGGGCTGCCTTCGGAGTCCCCCTCAGGGAGGATGCCACAGCCAAACACGAAGGAGGCCAGTGAGTGGCAGTGGGTGAGCAGGACCAGGGCCTGGATGAGCTCGGCCAGAGACCAGCTGTGCTCGCCTGTCTTCAGCAAGGCCTGGAGAGGAAAGAAGGGCAGACTTGCTCAATGCCTGGCCCTGGGCTGACTGCCTGACATGCCCCAGCCCGGCCCCCGTGCTCCCTGTGCCTCTCTGCCCACGGCACCTGGATGTGCTCCTTGGTGATGAGCCACGGCCGGTGTGCCAGCAACTTGTTGATCTCACTGAGCTTGCGTAGCTTCTCAGGGGCCCGGTGGAGACCAAGCAGCCACTCAGGGTCACCGCCAGTCTGCAGAAACTCGGCCATGTGGGAACCCACCAGGTAGGAACACTGGTGGCGGGCGGCAGCCTGTGGAAAGGGTGGACAGAGCCTTGTTCGGGGTGGATACCCCATGGAGGGAAGAATCGCGGGCCTCACTATTGCCAGAGAGGGAGGACACTTAGGTCCTAACCCCAGCAGCTGCACTAGTGTGCTGTCCTCCCGTGGGCAGGTCACCTGACTCTCTCATGCCTCAGTTTTCTGATTCTGACTAAAATGCCTCTCTCTGGGGCAACCGGGTGGCTCTGTTGATTAAGCATCCAACTCTTGATATCTGCTCAGGTCTTGATCTATTTCAGGGTCGTGAGTTCAAGCCCCACACTGGGCTCCATCCCGGGTGTGGAGCCTACTTAAAAAAAAAAAAAAAAAAAAAAAAGGCCTCTTTTCAGAATCCAGAACTCTGTGGATGATCAGATAGTTAGGGCTTTCCTCTGCTCTGGGCAGCCTTTCCTCCCAGCCTCTGAAATGGGTTCAAAAAGCGCCCAGCAAAGAGACCTGAAGACCAAATCCCCCCACGTGGCCAACTGTACAAGGGCTGGGCTCCGACAGGCTTACCATGATGGCAATGTAGTGGCGCCAGGAGCTGGCGAGGGGCCCATCTGTGTGTAGCAAGAGGTAGTGCAGGCGCCAGAAGCAGGTAAGGTAGTCAGGGTGCAGGCCCATCACCACAGCCAGGTTGTCCACCCGCCCCGAGGACATCAGTGCCTCAAGCCTCAGGTGCTGCTCCAGGCTCTCTGGTCCCTCCTGAAGGACCTGCCAAACAAAGGCGAGAGGATGGGTTCCCGGCCCGCTCTCCGCACCAAAGAGACCAACGCACTCATTGTGTTGGGACTGTAAAAGCCAAGAAACCCAAAATGACCACCATGTCCAAAAAAAAAAGGAAAATAGGGGAGGAAAAGATAATTCATTAAGTGACTTCCTTGCTCAGGTTACAGATCTAGCAAATGACAGAACGTGGATTCAAATCCAGATTACCAAAAAGGCCCATTTATTTCCTCCATTATAAAAGAGGACCGATTATTTACAAATGAAAAAATAAAATATGAGGACAATACTTGAGTTGAAAATTCTGGGCTAGATACAAATAATCAGCAGGTGGTTGTTTGCTTTCCATTTACAAAGGGTGGAGAGGGAACTGGGTGGGGGGGGTAGGTTAGACATTTGTTAACAGCTCATTAACTACCTGGCTACACATTTAGGAGAGCAAACAGGATGACAAAACAAAACATTTATTTTTGTTCACCGAAGGCCAAAGAAATAGGAGGAAACTTATTTTTAGAATTTTCCTGGGCATGTATTTCAAAGGTGTCCCTGCCACCATCAACCCCATCCTAGAATGTCAGCTGACAGCAAGGATTTTTGTCTGACTTGTTCTTTGCTGTATCCCCAACACCTACAACAGTGCCTGACACAGATTAATCATTCAACAGATATCTGTTAAATAAATGAATGAATGATCTGACTCGGTGGATGAAAGGTTATCTCTTGTATTAAGTGACAAAAATAAAGAATATGGCCATAACCCCCTCCTCCCCAAATGTTGTAAACCATGACCTTGGTTCCATATGACAAGAAGTCCAAGAAACAGTGATAAATGTTAAGGAACAGTGATTACCTCTGTGGGAGGCAAGATTACAGGAGACTAGAGCTTTCTGAGGCATTAAAATTTTTCTTATAATGAATATAATATTACTCTTCAAGTTGAGAAAAAAATGTCATATATGTATAGTCGAGGAGGAACAGTTAATATAGACAGTTCTGTCTTTTTAAAGAATAGGCCTCGCTCTGGGGAATCAAAAGTTTGTTCATTACCTAGCTGCGTCATTATCACTTTATCTCTTTGAGCCTGTTTCTTCCCAGCAACGTCTGATACGCGTGCTTCAGAGAGCTGTTTGTGGGTTAAATGAGTCAGGAACCTGAAGCTGCTATTTCAAGAGACAGGAAAAGACCTCCACCCACACAATGTCCCATGTCCTTTCTTCCCAAGAACCAAGAAGTCCTTACCCCCTCCACGCTTACCTCCTCTACCGGGATGAAGGCACTGGGCCCTCGGGGGCCTCGCCGAGCCCGGCTTTCCCTCTGCTCCTAGAAGGAATCACATCACGGTTACTGGAGGTAGAAGGGAGGACTAAGAGTAGAGTTCTCTCTTCAGCTTTCTCCTTCTACCCAACAGGCCATGCTGAGCTTTTTTTGTTGTTGTTTTTAAATTAAAAAAAAAATTTTTTTTTAAGATTTTATTTATTTGACACACAGAGAGAGAGAGAGAGATAGAGATCACAAGTAGGCAGAGCAGCAGGCAGAGAGAGAGGGAAGTAGGCTCCCCGATGAGCAGAGAGCCTGATGCGGGGCTCGATATCCCCAGACCCTGAGCCAAAGGCAGAGGGTTAACACACTGAGCCACCCAGGTGCCCTCACGCTGAGCTTTTAAAACCAGTCTTTTGGTACACCCTGCATGAAGGAGTCAGGTGGGAGATAACCACCTGCTGGCAGGTGGAGAAAGGGTAAGCAAGAAGGCTCACCCCACAGGCTGAGTTCTTCAGGAACTGGGAGCCCCAGTTTTGGGTGGGAGGGGCGTGGGGAAGGGAAATATACAGACACCATGGTGCACATCTTTAGGAGGCCACCCTTTGAGAAGCCCTGGAGATCCCAAGAAACCCCCTCGTTTTGCATCCTGTAGCCAGAGTAGCAAGCACCTTAGATTCCTATGGATCCTAATCGAAGCCCCTGCTGTCTTCTATGGTCACTTCTCTATCCCTCCCACCACCAGCACCTCATAGACTATAACCATCTCTTGTCTGGACCCCACCTCCACCCCGCAGCCAACAGTCTCACCCATGGTCTCCCTGCCCCCACTGCCCTGCCCTCTCCTACTGATACTCGCCCAAATTAATGAATAAAGAAAACATCCTGCCTGAGCGACACCTCTAGAACGAGGAGCCCATGCAGTGAGTCCATGACACTGGTGGTTTCTAGGAGGGCAAACTTTCTGCAGCCAAAGGAATATTTCTTAAGTGCAAATTTGAGCAACCGGCTTAAAACCCTGCCTCTAGCTCCCGTAACCTTCCAGGGAAATGAGAGGTTCAGGCCTACTGTGCTCCCACTGGTCACTCCTTTTGCAAAACTAACTCACAGTCTTCCAGGGTCTGGAAACCTTCTTCTGACCCTAGGCTGTGACCCTACAATTCCTGGTGCTTTTGCTTCTGAAAACATTGTCTTACAATTGTCTGATTCAGATCTCCCTACTGCCAGGTCACATTTTGTGGAGAGTGGGGCCAGGTCATTCATACCAACCTGTGAGGGTTGGTATGAGAAAGCAGAGAAAGCAGAGCGGAGTAGAGGGATTCAAAGCAGGGCACAGAAGGTTGCTGGTACAACTATTCTAATGCCTCTTTGGAAACCATCAGTCACGTACTCACTAAATCTGCTCCTAGTCTGAGAAGTGGGGTTCAGAGAGGATGTTTTATTTATTCATTTGTTTTGGTTAACTGGGAAGGGGGCTCTTAGTACTGGCCTCGGAAATAGTTTACCCAAACCAGAGTCACCCTCACTGAACACAGACAGTGTGCCCCTAACTCTCCCCTCCTCATTGGAAACGAGACTGAGTATCCATCCCCAGGTGTCCAGAGGCTAAAGATTATAATTGAACCTTCCTTCTCACCAGGCCAAAAGACCCCGGAGGGAGGCAGAACTCTGGGACTCTCAAAGACCACACAGAAAGAACAAAGGGATCTGGAAGTCCCAGGTCCTGGTACCAATTCTACTACTAATTTGCTGTGTGACTTCGAGAAAATGACCTAGACTCTCTGGGCCTTAATCTTGGACAGAGAAGATAGCTGGGCTAATTGCTCAGGCCCCTTTCAGCCCACACTTCTGGGTGCTACCAGGGCTGGCTGGTCCAAGTCCAGCACAGAAATCCCAGCAATCTCCAAGTACTCATTCAGCATCCCTCCTCCCTCACCAAAGAAAAAAAGGTTAACAGCTCTGTCTAGTGGGAGATAAGGACTGCTGACTCCACAACCCAGACCTCTCCCTCAGGGGACCTGAGGACAGATAGAAAACCACAGCCTGGGGAGGGCAGGAGACAGTTGGGGAGGGGGACCTGGAGGGCCCCCCAGGGTACAGGTGAAGTACAGGGAACAGCCTTGGGAACTCCTTCATACTTTAAAACTTGCCTCAGGACTGGTCAAGGCAAGGAACTGATACCTGTGGGTCTCCAGGTGATAGGTCTGGACCCACCATATTCAGTCCTGATGACGATGATGGTGATGATGGTAACAGCCATGATGATGATTGTAGAGTACATTTAAAAGATACAGGCTCTTGGCCTGGGATACCTGGGGCCACTGGTCAACTCCATACCTATTATCTGCTACCTATGGAGTCTATAGTTTCCCTACCAAATAATGGGGATAATATTACCCACTTTCACTGGGCAGTCATGAGGATTTAATGAGATAATGCTCCATAGCCATTACCTCAGTACCTCTGTTGCCAGAACACTTAATAAAAGTCAGCAGTTGGCAATCGTTAACCTCCACCTCCTTGTAATTTCAAACAAGGGCTTTTCAGCGGGAGCAGCACAAAACCCCTTTGAGAAGCTTTTAAAAAGATGCCAGTGCCAAGGTCCCACCTCCAGCAATTCTAATTTAACTGGGTGGGGTCCAGCATCATTTATAGCCAGGGTGGAAGGCCACTGTTTCCCACCCTTTATCGATCATTTTCTCAAGTGTAAGTCACCATGCTAAGTGCTTTCCAGGTGGAACCAGAATTAATTTGTTCATTCAACAAATATTTTTGATGACTATAATGCAGGCAGCTAGAGAACAGGAATGAAAAGACAGTCTCAGCTTTCAGAGAATTTATGATCTAAAGGAGAATGACAGATGATGAACAGGGTTTCAAAGCACAGATTGTATAAAGTAAATGAAATAGAGCAACGAGAGAGTGTATGATGGGGTGGGGGTATACCATATATTAGTCTGAGGAGACAGGGAAAGCTACAGGGGAGGTAATCTTTGCGTTGATATCTAAATATCAAATATCTAAATGAGTTGATGAGAAGGCAGCAGGGCCCATAAAGATCTAGGGGGCAAGCATTCCAGCCGAAGGGAACAGAAAATACAAAATCCTGAAAGCAAGACCACATAGATTCCAATCCAGAGCTCCAATACCCTGAAAGCTTCTCTGACCCTGACACCTAGAACTTTAGGGGAAGCAAACAGGACAGGGTCCCGCTGCCAAGAGACGCTGCCTCCAAATCAGCCTTCTATTTCCTGAGGTCGGAAGTCACAACAGCCAATGGTAGGTAGCACCACTGATTACCATCAGCCAGGCATTTCACCTGCCCTTCGATGTCGGCTCGACTCCTCCTCCTAGGGCTCCCATTCTACGGATGATGATTAAGTCTCAGAGGGGTCAAGTCAGGCTTTGCACCTGTGGTTTATTAACAGGAGAAGCTCCTCTTCCCTGCCCATGTTCCCGGGGATCCACGGCTCCCGGTCATGACATCTGGATATTGGGTTTTTTTCTCCGTTGGAGGACACACACTGGATCTTCAGTAACAATGAAGTCAGACAGTGCTCTCGGGGGCAATGAGCAGGGAAGGCTTCAGGCAAGTTGTAAAAAGAGGATAATCACCCCTCAAGCTCAGTGCCTGGCGCCTAATTTAGACACTAGCTCAATGTTATCTTTTATATTAGCTCGGGCATCTGCACACGGGTTCCATCTACTCTTCATCAGTTTTGGGGTGGGGGTGGGAGGTCTCTATGTTGCACCCACGGAAGGATTAAGAGTCCAGAGGTTAAGCACCAGCCGACAAGTGGCCAGCCTGAGATGTGAACTTGGTTCGGTTTGTCTTCTAAGGGTTCTGTCCACCACCCACAACAGTCTCTTGGAGCAGCCCCAGACTTTATTCTCGGTATCCTATCCAGAGCCTGCAACCCCCATCCCAGGACTCAGCTACACACACCTATGAAGTCCCACCGCCAGCTGGGAAGGGGCAGAGACTGCCAGCACCCCACTCCTCGGACAGCTGTCTGCAGAACTCAAGTACCTGCCTGAGTTTACACAGGAGAGGGAGACCCCGTAGCCCAAGCTGCCTGCTACCTCCAGCCTTGGAAGGAGAGGGGGTGATCAGAGCCATGGGCTGGGCCCTAGGCTAAGTGCTTTTACACAGACGATCTGGCTGATTTCTCACAACTACCCTGAGGGAAACAGGGCTTATTTTTCCTTCTTCAGAGAAAGCTCACTGAGGCTCCTTTGGAGTCCTGCTCCAGACGTGCACAGCTCATAATCTGACTTTGAAGCACGCACAGGTCATGAGGGTCAGTTAAGCCAACAGGGGGTTAAGAGAAGCATTTACTAGGGGCGAAGAACCACGCTGGGGATGTGACCTACAGAGTGTTTCTAGTGTAGCACAGGAGACATGCAAAATGCTGATCACATGACTGTTCCATTATAATTGGGATTAACGCTCCAGCCTCTGAGAAGAGGGACTGAAAGAAGGTATGTAGGAAGGACTTATTGGGTGGGGGAGGGAAAGCTTCCCTGAGGAAGTGATGTTTGAGGAAGTGATTCTAGAGCCCAAGAGGGCTCTAAATACATACTACCAGTCCTAGAGTCAAGTCCTGGAGTCCTTGACCCCTTTAGGTTAAGGGCATGTGGTGAAGTGATGGGACTTGAGGGGTCTGTTTATCTGGGTGTCCCTTGGGAATCGGGCTCTGTTAAGTTCAGTGCCCTACTGTCTTCTAACGATTCTGCATAAAGCAGGCATCTTCCCAAGGTCCTCTTTTTCTTGAGAGAGAAGAGTTATGTGGAAAGGGTTCAGATATCACCATCTTTCCCTTGCTGACAGGTGGCTTCCATCTAAAGGCCACTCCCTTAGAGCCTGCCCAGACCACCTGGGGCACTCTCTTCTCCCCAGGCCACTTCCCAGAGAGGGATGGGCCAACTCGCCCCTCAGGCAAGAGGGACAGGTTCAGGCACCCCATTGTGACACACTCTGGGGAAAGGGAAATGACCACATTCTAACGATACCCAGCATCTCTGACTCAGTTACTGTATTTCAGGCACTGTGCTTTAGCTTTTGCTTGTATTCTGTCATTTCTCCCAACAATCCTCAGAGATGCTATCAAATATCCATGGGAAGAAACTGCAGACGGGAGAAATGATCACTTGGGCCAGGTTACACAGCAAGTGAATGGGAGGACTGGGATATGAACCAGGCACCTCCCCTCTAGTGGCCAGGGATCCTCATTGATAATGTGAGTCCCCCTTAACCCCCACCAGAAAGAAATGGACTCCGAGTAAAGTGACTGGGTGCCACTGGGCAGAGAAATGACAGGAGTGGGTTTCATTCCTCCCCCTGGAGTTCTCAAACCATGATGTTCAGGAAGGGGCGCCTGGGTGGCTCAGGTCATGATGTCAGAGTCCCGGGATCAAGCCCTGCATTGGCCTCTCTGCTAAGCAAGGAGCCTGCTTCTCCCTCCCTCTCTCTCTGCCTGCCTGCTTGTGATCTCTCTCTCTGTCAAATAAATAAACAAAATATTTTTTAAAAAGTATTTAAAAAATTTAAAAACATGATGGGGAAGGATAAACAAGCTCACAGAAAACCCAGGACATGAACCATCCACCGCTGGAGGTAAGACCTCCTAGAAACCAAGTGACTCAGACAAGTCAGCGATTTTCCCAGGGTCACACAGTTCAGGACTAGCACTTGTCGCACTCCCAGGCCCAGCAATACACTTGCTCCAAGCTCCAGGACTGGAAACTAAAACAAGCAAAACTCTCTGTAGTGCCAAGCACCCTAGGGAATCCTAGAGAAGCCCAGGCCAAAGAATGAGCTACTTGGTGGGACTAGTGACGGAAGTCTCTCCACAGCCCCTCCTGGGCCTCAATTTCCTCATCCTGGAAAACGAGGCTACAGCGTAGCTCCTATTTTGCTAGTTTAGTCCTGAGGACTCAGAAAAGGCAACACCCGGAGACCGGCATCTGGTAGATGCTTAAGAAACGGTAAGATAGATGTGTCGGTGGTGGTGAGGGGGGTGGGGAGGAGGCAGGAGGTGTGTCAGATTAGGCCCAGCCCATTCCTAGCTTCACTGCGAAGAGTCCCTGAGAAACAAACTTCTGCGACCTCAGACCACTTAGTAGGGCGCAGCCTAATGCGCGCTAGCCGCGCCCAGAGTTTCTCCCCTTATCCCCCAGCTTCGTTCCGCCGCCGGGACGCCCGCGCTCCCCCGCTCCAAATCGGGGGTGCAGGTGTGGGTGGGGGGCGAGGTCTACCTTCCCTGGCACGTCCCAGGTGCCTCAATGCCCGCACTGGGAGACTGGAATGGGGACGTATCCTAGAAAGAGTCCTCCGCGCGCCAGCCCCAGCCTAGAGGAAGGGAATCCGCGGAAGGGGGCGGGGAGGAGGAGTGGTCGGGCCGCAGCCGCCGGGGTTTGCCTGGACTTGAAGATTCTCCCGTCAAGAGCCCAAACCGAGGATAACCTCGAGAAGGCTCCCCTCTCATTGGCCAGGAGTCCGAGGGAGCCAAGGAAGGTTCCACAGCCCCGGGGGGAGGGGGCGGAGAGGGCCGAGACAGCCGGTTGATGCAACCCCATTCCTAGGTTACGCGCTCCGCTCCCCCTCCCCGAGCCTGGGCGGTTGTGGCGGGGTGGGGGTGCTCATAAACTCAGCTCCGGACAGCCCGAAGCTCGGCTGCAGCTCGGGGCTCAAAGGAAGAGTGGCGTCGCTCGGCCGCTGCTTACCTCTCCGGCCCCGGGGCCGCCGCCGCCGCCGCCCGGGGCGAACGGCAGGTAGCCTTTCAGCTCTGCGCGGCACTCGGAGTCTGCAACGATCATGGTGTGTGCCAGGATCCGGCCACTGCTCGCCGGTGACCCGTGCACCCGAGGGGGTTTGGGACGGACGCACACAGGAAGCGGGGACTGGGGGCCGCTGGGGAGGTTCTAGAGCCCCGGGGTGTCTCTCGGGGTTCCAGAACACTCCGAAAGCCCAGAATCCGGACAGCAGCTTCTCCGCCGGACTCTCCCCTCGGCCGGCTTCTAGAACGGTGAATGGCCTCGGGAGCCTGGGATTGGCCTCGGCCCAGGGGTTTTCACGGCCCGGAGTGCCTCGGAAGTCCGCAGTGGCCACGGCTGCTCGCCAAACCAGCGCTCTTCAGCATCCCCGCCGCGGAACTGCCAGCGCTCGCCCGGCTCTGACACTAGCAGCGCCGCTCAGCCTGCTGCGGTCCCCGGGGGAGGGCGGGGACACAAAAGCCCCGCGCCGCAGCCAATCAGATGCCTGTTTCCCGGGGAGGCGGGGGCGACACGATCCCCTGGAACCGACGGCTCGGCCAATCGGCACCGGGAAGCGCCCAGGAACTCTGGGAGCTGTAGTCAGCCCCGGATGAATGCTGCAAACTTTTGCAAAAGGGGTTAGTCAGATTGTTGGCAGTATCAGCCGAGAGTGACAGCCAAGAGAGTCATTAGGGCTGCGTGATGAAACGGGACTTCACCGGGCTGGGCCGGTGAGCCGGGTGTAAATCCCTCCCAAGTACGTTCTTCAGCTTTTCAGTTCCTGCAGGGACTGGTTAGGGTTAGGAGAGCTGGTGCTAATTACAGAGCTGAACCCCAGATCTTTGGAGATTAGAGGGCACAGCCTTGTCCCCCTGGCCTCCGGGAGAGCTCCACCTTAAAATGTACCAGGCACGGGGAATCCATCTTAATGGTGGAGTCCCTGGAAAAGCCATTCATCGAAAGTTTCTTGTCAACCCTATGTCTAACCTCAATCCCTATGTCGCAGTTTCCTCTCGTTTGCTTCCTCGGGGCCTCCTCCAGTCTTGTCTTCCATTCCTGCCACTCCCTTTCTAGAAACTTTGAGACAAGGTGTTCTCCTGGGTCTTTTCTCACATCTCTCTCTCTCTCTCTCTCTCTGGCCACTCCTCCTCTGACTCCCTAGAACGTGGGTGTTCCCCAGTTTCTATTTTTATCCCTCCTCTCTCCAGACATTCTGGCCTTCCCTGATCTCATCCACTTCCTGGCCTTCAGCGCTCCATCTGGGAGTAAGCTACTTCTACCAGCACCTCAGCACCTCAAAATGAATTCATCTCCTTCCCACAGTCTCTTCCTTCAGTTTTTCTTCAGACCTCCACTTTTTGCTTCCATTTCAAAGTCACTGTTTATCCTGGATAGAGAATCATGGGTGGGCTAGATGACCTCCAGTTTTCCCTCTTGAGGTTTTCTGAGACTAGGCTTAACCATTCCAAGGATGACCCTCTGATTTGGTCTCCTGCCTCCAGCTCTTGGAAGAGGGAAATGAATTTCACCCTCTGCTGGGCAACAAAGACACTTGGGCTGGGGCTCTATTATAACACGTATCCCGCTCTACTTTATATTGTAATTTTCTGTGTACATGTCTTATCTGACCCTCTTGATTATAAGCTCCTTTAGGGCACAGTCTGTGTCTTGACCTCTTTGTCTCTGCCCTATGCCACCAAGGGTGTCCTGCTAATAATATGCCCTTGGTGACTGAATCGTTCCTTGAATTGAATTCCCCTCTAAATTAGCATATGTCAGACTCAGATTTCTTTTTTTTATTTGAAGATTTTATTTATTTTGAGAGAGAGAGAGAGAGCACGAGCAGGGGGAGGGGAAGAGGCAGAGGGACAGAGAGAATCTCAAGGAGACTCTGAGCTGAGTGTGGGGCCTGACATGAGGCTCCATCCCACACCCTGAGATCATGACCTGAGCTGAAATCAAGAGTCAGACACCCAAATAATTGAGCCACTCAAGTGCCCCCAGATTTCATGTTTAAAATCTACTCTGTAATGTCAATGTTTAAAGATTTATTTATTGATTTGAGAGAGAGAGGAGTAGCAGAGGGAGTGGGAGAGAGAATCTCCAGCAGATTCCCTGCTGAGTGCAGAGCCTGACTCAGGGCTCAATCTCAGGACCCTGGGATCATGACCTGAGCCAAAATCAAGAGTCAGACACTCAACTGCCTGAGCCACTCAGGTGCCCCTGTAATGTCAATATTGAGATCAAAAAGTTTTACTGGCATTTCATCAGCTACAAAATAAAGGTCAAACCTCTAGATTGACATTTATATCTGCCAAGATCTGCCTCAATCTACCCTTCCAGTCTTATCACCTGCCACATCCATGTTTCTTGTTTGGCCTTCAAACCTTTCTTCCAGTAGTTCTTTCTGCAAATCTCTGCCCACTGAAATCCTACCCAGCATTCAATTCTTTCATGCGTGTTTGTGTGAATGAAGCCCTCAAAATACCACTTCCTACAGAAAGGTTGCTTTTTCAGATCAGCTGAAAAAGATCTCTTCCACTCCTCCACTTCTTAACACATTGTTTCTACCTCTTTATACCACTGATCTCCAAATTTGATGCAGCCTTGTTATCATCTCGGTGTGTCTTACCGCTTCCTTCTAACTGACAATAGAATATGTCACTGATCACTTTTGCAAAGTGTGGAAATTTGAGCTCAGAAAGGTAGAGCTTCATGTCAAGGTTGTACCATATCTTCTTTTGACTGCACCAGGCTGTGCCAGAGCTCCTTTGAGGCAGTGTCTAACTGCCTTTGTATTCCCCATTAGCAGGCAGTGGGTCCTCAGCAAATATTTTTGAATTAATAAATGAGTGACTCCATAGAATAGTCCCTTAGAAACTTCAAGGAAGCCACTAAATCATTCCCTGACTTCACATACCAAGTTAGTGATTTTGTGAAAAGGAAACACAAAGGATACTGATATTCTCAATTTGATGCACTTTTGTGACCCAATCTCCAAGGAAGGAAAGCTCAGAAGAGGCACAGATACTGCCATTTACTGGGCTCCAACAACAGTCCAGGATACATCTAATATTTCATGTAACTCTGACCACAACCTGGTGAGGTGTGCTTTATGCCCATTTGACAGATGAGGAAACTGAGGCTCAAGAGGTTTGTCGGCCAGGATAGCTTAATAATGTGTCAAGTAAGGATTTCAAACCCAGGCAGAAATGACTCCAAAGCAAAAACTATACACACCAAGGACGAGAGAAGGACCTGAATTGTAAGAAGCAGGCTGGCACAAGGGAAGAATGCAAAAAGCGGAATTACAATATATTAATTGAGAGTGACAAATATAATTGTCAAGTGGCCTGTAATTGGTGGGCCAGCACACCCCTCTTTACAGGACAGCCTCCATGAAAAGCCAAGTCACCATCTGACAGTGGCTTAGAGCAATTGAAATTTGAGCAAGAGAATCCAGTGAAAAAATGAATCACCGAACCAGCTCCACTCAGAACAAATCTGCTGGTCAGGGCTCCCATTTCTTCCCTCTCTCTTTTACTCAGTAAATATTTATTGGCAAGCTAGTGTATACCCACCTCTGTCCTGGGCTCTGGAAATCCAGCAGGGAAGCCTCTTGCCCAGCAGGGCATGGCCTGGTGACACAGGCTGGGCCTACTCCTTCCCTCCCCCACACCTTGTATTTTTGGTTCAGTTAAGATCTCCACCTCCTGTTGCCATACTCACTTGACTCTTGCATCAGCTATGTTGAGACCACTGATTGGCCAAAGCTTTTTTTATTCTTCAATCACATTCCAGCCCTGAAGATACATCTAGATTGGATTTGAAATGTTTTTGAGGTTTCTTCAGCTTCAGACCCTCTCACAGATTTTAACCCTAATGGGATTCTCATCCGTTCTGTGTTCATTCTTCCTGAGTTAATTTTCTAATCCCAAATTCTGGAATCACTCTGCTATAATCATCTTGTACCCTGACCATACCTGGGGCTGTGATTTATCACCTCATCTGTAATTCTGTGAGCTCTTTTTATTGTTTTCACCGCCCCTCCCCCACCCCCCACCTCGGAATATAATTCCTGCCTTTGGGGAGCTTTCAGGAAAGAAACCTAACTCCGACTGGTTTGATAAATCAGACCCACCCTCCATGTCTCATTCACACATTTAATTACTCTGTAGGTAGGCATTGTGCTAGGTGCTTAGGAAGATTCTTCTGGCTGACAGGTCCTGAGCTGTGAAACCTTACAACCAAAAGTGCAATTGTCCTTTGGAATTGTGCATTAGTGGATAGGACAGCCACAGACTCTAGGAAACATAGCCAATTGTCTCCAAAGACCACTATCCAGGAGTCAGGCACCTAGGGTGCTAGTGCTAGTTTTTAGCTAGGCAACCCAAGTGACTTTGGGTTTGTTTGTTTTTTTAGCTTTTAGAATTTGTTTCCTCATCTGTAAAACAAAGGAACTGAAATGAGCTCCAACCCTTCAGAGCCACTGTAGAGAGGACTCCTGTTGGGCAATGAGTATACTTCAGTTTCATCAATTGTGTACTGTGGACAGAAACTATCAGGTTTCAAAAACCTCACCCCTCTTAATAAATAAAACACAAAAACTGACCAGCTGGGTGGTTTGGGATAATTCCCGAAGAATTTCAGTTTGCTTGCGTCGGCTGAGTGAGCCCTCGGCGCCCCCTGCTGGCAACACTCTGCTACAGTTCAGAACGGACTGGGCAAAAGAATGGATTGAGGGTCACCCCCAAACCATTTTGAGTTTATAGGATTGTCAGGTCCCATGCCACCGCCTAAAGGTCCTGAAAAGAGTCCAAGCAACAGCTAAATAAAAATCGTGTGGTTGCTGAGGATTCCTCCGATGCCAGCAGAGGCCAGACTCCCTAAAGACCTCCCAGCCTGAATGCACTTGCCGTCGTTTTGGCTTACTCTTTCATCTCACAGGCAGGAAGCTTGAGGGCCCCCAGAAAGTTGATCACAGGGCAGAGGCAGAACCTTTGTCAAGCCCCCACTGCAGGGCCACTTGCACCATTGTAGGTTACCCTGGGAGCCTCACATTCCCAGAAACAAAACAAAACAAAACAAAACAAAACTGATTTTACTCTTCTGTTCTCTCCCTCTTTCCCTTTCTCCTCCACTCCTAGAAGTCCTGCACTTCCCATTTTCAGACAGTCGCCCTGAGGTCTGTCCTTGGCCCTTGTCACCATCCTGTCTCTGGCCCTTGTCACCATCCTGTCCCATCTCTTCCTACTGAAAGACTTCTGTACCCACTCCCCCCAGAAAATAAGTTGGACTTGGAGTCAGGATATAGGGATTGAAGTTTCCAGTTCTAACCCTTTCTAGCTGTGTGAACCTAGGAAAGTCACTTCACTCCTCTATACAGTTTCCTGCTGTATAAAATGGGGCAATCAAATTTACCTCCAGAGGTTGTTGTGAGGATGAGAGCTAATGCATACA